TGTTAATATAGTCAGACGAGAATGAGATAGGATCGAGTCGGCCTTGAGTTTCTCACCAAATTGGTAGTAGCCAAGAAAGAATTTTCAGGGAGAAGGTCGGAGCAATCAGAAGAGTTGTAGATCAATAGGAGTAGATGTCAATGTGATGACGAGATCGATAGGATTGTTCGACAAGTGAGAAGAGTGAGAGAAGGTAGATGAGAGAGGAGAAAAGGAGTCGGATACGGAAGGGGAATTGAAGGATAGGAATGTTGGAGTGAGTTGAGTGTTGATGGAAGTTGAGGCCGAGCAGATTGGTGATGGTTGATTTAGAGATGTTGGGAAAGATTGATTGTTATGTCGATGGTAGGAGCTGCTGGGGATTTGATGTCTGGATGGAGGAATACCCAGTATTTAAGTCATTTGATTGGTGGCTGACTTGTGGGTTAGGTTTTGAGGAGGTTCGATGGTTTTCATCTTGAAGTGTTTGAGTTGTGGTTGTGAGTATTGAGAATTGTATTGAGAGGTTGATGTTTGAAGAGTATATTGAGAAGATGTAAGAGGAAAGTAGATGAAAGGGGAAAGGAGGGAAGTCGAGAGAAGAGAGAGTGAGCGGAAAAGAGAGAGCGGAGCGGAAAAGAGAGAGCGGAGCGGAAAAGAGAGAGCGGAGCGGAAAAGAGAGAGCGGAGCGGAAAAGAGAGAGCGGAGCGGAAAAGAGAGAGCGGAGCGGAAAAGAGAGAGCGGAGCGGAAAAGAGAGAGCGGAGCGGAAAAGAGAGAGCGGGTTCGAGAGAATGGAGAGGGAGCGGGAAAGAGAGAAAAAATGAGCGGAGACAAGAGAGCAGAGACAGGGAGAAAATTCCAACACACTCACCACGCTCAAACACTTCAGTCAACTCATAGTAACAACCTTTTACTACTAAACACTCAGGTTAGTTACCCAGAGGCTGACACCAGAGCTCCAATACACAGACTTGAAGTCATGAGACTTGGTCAGGTGCTGCATAATACGTCACAGAAAATGAATATGAAAAAATAAAAACAAAAAAAAAAAGTTTCAAAATTTGTGAAAAATAAAAAATAAAATTGATTTTTTTCAAAAGCTTTGATATTCATTTTGGGGGAGTGGGAGTGCTGAGAGAAAGAAAGAATGGGACATGGGAAGAATGACTATAAATGAAAAAAAATTGGAACCAAAAAAGGTTTGGTCAGGTTGTTTGTCCATATTGGAGCCAAAACAGGAAATTCTAGTGCTTTACTGCAATGAGGGCTGGTGAATGCCCCACTCAACAGCTGTTTGAAGCCATCTGTAAACCAATTTTTCAAAATTTTCATTTATAATCATTCTTCTAATATCCCAATCTTCCTTTCTCTCAGCACTCTCACTCCCCCAAAATGAATATACAAGCTTTGAAAAAAAATCAATTTTATTTTTTATTTTTCAGAAATTTTGAAACTTTTTTTATTTTTTTCATATTCATTTTCTGTGACCTAATATGCAGCACCTGACCAAGTCTCATGACTTCAAGTCTGTGTTTTGAAGCTCTGGAATCCAAAATAAACAGCCACTTTTCACTGTCTACCCACTTTACAACTATGAGAAGGGAGTACTGCCTGTCTAGCCCAGTTTGATCATAGCTTGACTGGTTTAAGACTCAAAAAGTGGTTGTAAGACCCTTTTTGCTGAATGAAGAAGGGGATGATGGAGGTGCAAGCTCTTCCCTTCTATACTATCAGATAACAAGACCCACCAAGCTTAGCTTGGCAAGTTTTAATCAAGTGATAGGGTAAGTTCAGGAATGAGTTTGTGTGATGCTGAGAAATGAGTTGGTTGTTATTGGTGTTTGATAAGGTTCTGTAAAGGTGGTGTATCTTTGATTGAGTGGTACTAAACTGTGACTGATGAATAATATACTGATTAGACAACAACTTGGAGGAGAGCCTCCTTATATAGAAAATAGTGAGGTAATTTAGCTCCAGGGCAGCCAGTGATGAGTGATTTTGGCTGGCCTGGGCTATTACATGAGGGGGTTGAGCTACATACAGAAGTTGAATGTGTGAATGTGATTGGTCAGATATGTACAAGAGTTGAAGTGGTGAGCCAATGGTGGTACCACCTGCAGCTGTCATGCAAGGACAATACACTAATTTAGACTGCATGCATGAGTTATGTAATATGTAGAAGTGAAATGTAAGGAGTGTAGATGTATGTAAATGAGTGTATATGTAAATGGGGGGTTGTACTGTACTGAGGGTGTCTGTGTAGCTTGAGGGTTGTAATTGAGATTGGTGACATGTAATGATGGATGAAATCCTTGTGATATGTTGTCCATTGTGGGGTGATTGTTGATTCAGGTGTGTTCCAGTGACTCCTCCCGGGTGATTAAGGTTGAATTTAAACCGTAGAGTCCAGTTCTTGAGGCATATAGGGTGGTTTCTGAGAGAGATTGGATGATAATATGAAGAAAATATATATAAGAAAAAGAAAGAAAAAACTTTTAATTTTCACATTTTTGACTACTGTCAGCCTCTGGGTAACTAACCTGAGTATTTAATAGTAAAAAGGTTGTTACTATGAGTTGACTGAAGTTTTTGAGCGTGGTGAGTGTTAGGTAGTGGGTGATTAATACCAGTCCTGTAAAGAGGAGGTTTCACTCTATCAGTATGGTCTTTACTGAGAGGCTTGCTATCAACAGCGCATCCGGATCAATACAAGGTATTAATAGGCATCCAGGGTACTAAGACTCACCCGGGATTGATTTGGTTATTCCCCAAAGGGAATGGGCTAACAATACTTATTAAGCTTTAACAAAATTAGTTGAAGATTAACAGGTATTGTTGATGGGAATATTCAGCAAGGCTATGAATACTGTGGATAAGTTGAGTAAGAGTACTGAAGCTTAAGAACAATAAATGTAGACAAGATTTATGTTGGTTACGGGTACTGTATCAATATAAATGTTAACTGGTTTAACTGGTGTCTGAATATTCTGGGGATTAATCAGTGAAAGAGGCACGGATTATAAGTTCCAGAATACTGAAGGGGGGAAAGAATGAGCGCTCAGAATCAAGGGAGCTTTGGCCAGGAGAATGAGCACATCAATTGAGTGACTGATCATTATTTGTCATGATCTGTAAGTGACATCATAATTGTGTACTAGTTGCTCTTGATGTGTACTTAACAGATCCTCTAATGATGTAGTCATAATTGTGATCAGTGCATGTATTGAATGTATTAATTCTATTAACACTTAATACTGACTATTTAATACATGTACATATTTATTTGTAATAATATCTGACCGTGAAAATACTGTAGACCAGGGATAACTTGTGGTACAGGTATTTCACGGACACAGGAGTGAAAGGTAAGTGATAATTACTTATGTACAAAACAGATATGTATTTCATGGATAAGTAATTAACAGATAAGATAAATGTAGGTTAAATAAGATAAGTTAATAATAATGATAAGATAACAAGAGGTAAAGGTAATCAACATTATGGATAAGTACTTATGTACATAAGTACAGGTGTTGCAGTTACTTGGTACATGAAAGGTACTGTGACATGTACTCTGTGGCTGACAAATACCACACCGGTCTATGTTAACTCTTTAGCACACAATGTGAGTAATCATTCTTTAGTTAGCTTTTTTTCTTGGACTGATCTGATTGACCATCCCTCTTTCATCCTGTTTAGACTGTAAACCTCATAAACATACAACACCAACTCCTATTCAGCTCCTTCTTGACATCCCTGCCAACAAAGGAGGAAACCTCCTCCTCTTCCCTGTCAGACCAACCAATCTCTAACCTCTCAGACCAACCAGCCAACCATCCTCATCTTCCCTGTCAGACCTCCCCCCCTTTGGCATCTCAGACCAACCAGCCAACCCTCCTCCTAAAACCTCTCAGAAAGACAGACCCAACAACCCTCCTCCTCTGCCCTCTCTGACATATGGTCTGAAAGGCTAGAGGGGAGGTGTAAGGACTGATCTTTCCTTCACTAGAGGAGTTGAGAAACAAAACAGTTGGACAGGCTATTTAGCCAAACAAGTTCTAGGACCAAACACTAAAGGGATTGATTACTGGCTCGGAGAGATAATGGATCAGTTCTCTCTGGTCTGTACATACAAATCTGTAGATATGAGAAGGAAAGATGAAAAAATGAGAATGAGAAAATGAAAGGCTTACCTGGCTTGGAGAGATGATGGATCAGTTCTCTGAGGATCCAGGTCCGGATCTCAGTCAGGCATGATCATAGCTACAAGAATCTTGGTCTGTGACACTTCTTGTGAAACCCAACAGGGAGGGGTTTGACAGGAGGTTTCCTTCACCTTTACCCTTTCAGATTGATTGATCTGACAGGCTGGAGAGGAGGAAACCTCCTCCTCTTCCCTGTCAGATTGATTGGTCTGGCATGCTGGAGAGGAGGAAACTTCCTCCTCTGCCCTGTCAGATCAATCAGTCTGACAGGCTAGAGAGGAGAAAGCCTCCTCCTCTGCCCTCTCACACCAATCAGTCTGACAGGCTAGGAAGGAGGTTTCCTCCTCTCACCAGTGCCTCCTCTGGACCAATTGGTCTGAAATTCTATAGAGAGGAAGGACCCCCCTCCTTCCCTCTCAGACCAATCAGTCTGACATGCTGGCCTTCCCCCTCAGACCAACTGGTCTTACATGCTAGAGAGGAGGAACCCTCCTCTTCCCTGTCAGACCGACTGGTGTGACAGGCTAGAGGGTGTCATCATTTTCATTCTATAGTATTGTAATCACCCTTATATTTGGTCTTGTTTCAAGTAGACTAGACACGTACAATCAGAAATGTCATGTTCCTCATTCAAAACCAGCACCTTGTACATATGTTTAGAACAGCCATGATAGATCTTAAGACGTCAATAAAAAAACTGCTTCCAGTTGATAAAAAAATCAAATGAGACAGGAATTTTAGTTGCCCCTTCCAAAGTCACTACACACTGTCAAAGCATTACCTGCCACTCTGTGAGCCAATACATACTGTTTACTATGGACGTAGACCCAAAGGACACCAAACTTGTCAAGGTCCAGGAGAAACTGGCAAAGCTGTTGTCCATGGTCAAACAAGAGCGTAAGGTCTGGAAGGAGATGGAGGCACTATTGGCTGAGAAGGAGGCCCAACTGGTGACGGCCCTGAAGTCTTAAGACCACCAAAAACCCACCACAAGCTCCAGCTGCGCCAGTCAAAGGCCCCAAGTTTGGCGCCCCCAACAAGTTTGATGGCACTTGCGGAGCCAAAGCGGAGGTTTTCACAAACCAGGTCAATCTCTAAATTCTGGCCAACAAACACCTCTTCCGCACCAACCATGCCATACTGGTTTTTGTGTTGTCCTACTTGACTGGCGCAGCCAGCTCCTGGGCCCAACCGTGGATGAGGAAGTTGTTGAGAAATACTGAAACTATCAGTATCCATGTACTGCAACACCAAGAAGAAGGCCAAGGCCAAGGCAGCCCTCCGCACGCTCAAGCAGACTAAGTTGGTGTCTCACTACACCCATCAGTTCAGCCTACACACCCACAATACTGGCTGGGGTCCCGCAGTCCTCATCAGCCAGTACAGACAAGGCCTGCAACCCCAAATCCGCCTCATGTTGTTGATGGCTTGAACTGAATTCCCGGAATTGGCCAACGCTGCCACCCTGGCCCTGAAGATCAACAATGAACTCCATTGCCTAGCCCCCATGTAGACAACCAAGACCCCGGACCTCAACGTGATGGACCTGTCAGTCATGCATGGATGCCTCTCTGAAGGTGAGAAGACCAGGATGATGCAAGCGGGCCAGTGCTTTCAATGCGGAAACCAAGGAAACATCTCAGGGGATTTCCCGGACCATGGCCCAAAGGGGAAAGGAAAGGAACAATCCTGGATTTCCAAACTCAAGGAGGAGGTCAAGCAGTTGAAGGATGGAAGTAGTAAGGCGGATTCTTCAAAAAATGGAAGTGCTCAGGAATGAAGGATGTACCTATCCTGAGAAGTGGAGAGCTGTTTGTTGTTAGTATTGGCTCCAGTGAAATTTTTTCAATAAATCAAATTGATCCATATTTATTTATTTCTTTTCCCATTGTTCCACCCAAACATTCTTCAGCCACAGCCCCATTTCCACCTCCCCCTCCCCCCTGCTACTTTCCTCATTGACTCTGGAGCAACCCATGATGTCATAGGCAAGTCCTATGCCAGGTCCACAGGCCTACTTGACCACGCCAGACCCTCCCAATGTACCATGTCTGGTTTTGAAAGCTCTTCAAGCCATTCTTTGTTTGATATTCACCTCACCCTAGACACAGACCCGACCCCTTCCCCATTCATCATCACTCAATTGAAAGACTCCTATGATGGCATGCTTGGTATGCTTTGGATCAGTCAACATGGACACCTCATTGACTGCACTACCCAAAAATTCAAGAAACCCCAAATTGCAGCTGTTGAGTCAGCTTCGTCACTTCCAAAAAAAACCTCACCTGTTGGTGTGGAGCCTGTGAGGCAGGCTATGATTTTTGACAAGGGTGTGTGTGTTGCTGACACGTTAACACCCCCACAATGTGAGTTCAATAAAGCCCCTTCCCCCAAAATTACTCTTGAAACAGCTGGCAAGCCTCTTCCCTTCCTAGGACACAGCACCACCCACCAGACATCAACCACTGAATACAGGACAATTGCAACTGCCCAGCCAGTTTTGCCAATTTCGACAAAGGCCTCATTGATTAGCGTGGAGCCTGTGAGGCAAGGGGGTTTGTTTCTCTGACACATTAACACCCACGCAATGTGAGTTCAATATGTCCCCTTCCATAATTTCCATTGAAACAGCTGGAAAGCCTCTTCCCCTCCTAGAAGTTGTTCCAACCGCAGATGTCAGCGCCGCCAAAGCCTCTTGGTCAAAATTGGCTCCACTTGCGGCAGACAGCAAAGCCAAGACTTTGGTGAAGACAGCAGAAGAAATAGTCCAGACCCACTATCACTGGTATATCAATGTCAGCCACAGAGTACAGTGGGTAGACAGTGAAAAGTGGCTGCTTATTTTGGATTCCAGAGCTCTGAAACAAAAACTTGAAGTCATGGAACTTGGTCAGGTGGTGCATAATAGCTCCCAAAAAATGAATATGAAATAATAAAAACAAAAAATAAAGTTTGACAATTTGTGAAAAATAAAAAATAAACTCAATTTTTTTCAAAAGCTTTGATATTCATTTTGGGGGAGTGGGAGTGCTGAGAGAAAGAAAGAATGGAACATGGGAAGAATGATTATAAATGAAAAAAATTGGAACCAAAAAAGGTTTAGCCAGGTTGGTGGTCCAGATTGGAGCCAAAACAGTAAATTCTAGTGCTTTGCTGCAAAGTGGGCTGGTGAATGCCCCACTCAACAGCTGTTTGAAACCATCTGGAAACCAATTTTTCCAAACTTTTCATTGATAATCATTCTTCCCATGTTCCAGTCTTTCTTTCTCTCAACACTCCCACTCCCCCAAAATGAATATCAAAGCTTTTGAAAAAAATTGAGTTTATTTTTTATTTTTCACAAATTGTCAAACTTTATTTTTTGCTTTTATTATTTCATATTCATTTTTTGGGACCTATAATGCACCACCTGACCAAGTCTCATGATTTCAAATTTGTGTTTTGGAGCTCTGGAATCCAAAATAAGCAGCCACTTTTCACTGTCTAGGCACTGTACATGTAACAGTACCTTTCATGTACCAAGTAACTGCAACACCTGTACTTATGTATATAAGTACTTATCCATAATGTTGTTTACCTTTACCTCTTGTTATCTTATCATTACTTTTATCTTATAATATTTTATTCATAGTTATCTTATTATCATTGATTACTTATGAAAATAAATATCATCTTATCTTGTAATTACTTAGCAATTAATTTTATACATAAGTAATTATCACTCACCTTTCACTCCTTTACCCATGATATACCTGTACCACAAGTTGTCCTTGTTCTACAGTATTTACACGGTCAAATATCAGTACAAATAAATATGTACAAGTATTGAATGTAGTTTATTAATTAGCAATAGAAGTAATACATTCAATAGCGGGGTTCATGATAGGATTTTGTCAGGAAGAAAATCAAGCTACTCAGTATTTGGGAGCACTCAAACCTTGGATTAATTTTTAGACAAAATTAAGCTTAATATTTAACCGATCAAGGAACGTTTTTGAAGTTTAAGCCTTAATCTGCACTCAGGAACCCTTAAAGCTTCCTTAGCTCATTCAACGGCCAAGAGGAATCCTCTCGGCCATCAAGAGTGTACACTCTCAACGGCTGAGGTGTACATTCTTGACGGCAGAGGGAAATCACCTTGGCTGCTGAGAGTAGAATCTCGACGGCCAAGAGTGTACCCCTCAGCCGTCGAGAGTGTACACTCTTGACGGCCAAGAGGATTCCTCTCGGCCATTGGTGTGTAATCATAGCGGCCGGGAAGAATCCTCCCGGCCACTTCTGTGGGGGTCTTTTGTTTCATCAACCCCCAAACCCTGGTTGGTTTTGGAGGATCGACTCCTGAACCAACCAGGGATTGTTATTTTTTTTAATATTTTTTTTGGGAGAGTCAACTCCCAAACCAGTCAAAGGTTTTGGAGGTTTGACTCCCAAAAGTTGGGGATTTTAGGGCTTGGGAGTCGGCTCTCCACTTTTTGGGAGTTGTTTAACCAAGCCCCTTATTTTATCATTTCAAAGCTGCAGATGAAGACCAGTTCGTTATGTCTTGGCCTGAGTCAACGCTGTCACAGATACGGTATCTGCCATGTATCTGCCATGTATCACTATGTATCTGAGCCCCAATAAAAAAACCTATCTGACCAATCTGCTTTTATTTGCAAGGAGATTCAACAAATTTGGTTTTTGGCCATGCAGCTTTGCAGAATTCTTCATGATACATACAGTGTATTGTATCTGTGACAGCGTTGCCTGAGTTATAGGTTGAACTTGGGAACCGGATTCCAAAGTATGCTCACCAAGAGCCCAAAGGCAGAAAATAAGCTCCCAAAATGGGTTGGAAACTTCAATCAAAGAAAACTGAAAAAACAGGATTGCAATACTTAGTCTGGGCTTAGGGTTAGGGTTAGGGTTAGGGTTAGGGGTTGATCATGAAGCCTTAGAGGTTCCTGAGTTGAGATTCTGAGCTTAAATACAGGCTTAAACTAAGCTCAGGATTTCATAATTCAGGAAACATTTAAGCCCGGTTGGGGAAGCAAAAAGCTTATTGTGAACCCTGCTAATACATGTACTGATCACAATTATGACTTAATTATCAAAGGATCTGTTAAGTGCACACATCTATAATGTCACTTACAGATCAATGATGTCACTTAGACAATTATGATGTCACTTACAGATCATTACAAATAATGATCAGTCACTCAATTGATGTGCTCATTTGCCTGGCCAAAGCTCCCTTGATTCTGAGCGCTCATTCTTTCCCTCTTTCAACATTCTGGAACTTATAATCTGTGCCTCTTTCACTGATTAATCCCCAGAATATTCAGACACCAGTTAAACATATGTAACATTTATTTTGAAACAAGACACGTAACTCAAGTTAAATGTAGTCTACTTATATTGTTCTTAATCTTCAGTCAACAACTCAACTTATCCACAATATTCATAGCTTTGCTGAATATTCCCATCTATTAAACTTCAACTAATTTTGTTAAAGCTTAATAAGTATTGTTCGCCCTTTCCCTTTTGGGAACCAAATCAATCCCAGGTGAGTCCTAGTACCCTGGATGCCTATTAATACCAGGTATTGATCCAGATGCACTGTTGATAGCAAGCCTCTCAGTAAAGACCATACTGATAGAGTGAAACCTCCTCATTACAGGACTGGTATTACCACCCACTACCTACTACTCACCACGCTCAAAACACTCAGTCAACTCATAGCAACAACCTTCTACCACACTACTTGTAGCTCATTTGAGGCATTTTTATTTGTTGGCTAAAATAGCTCAGTTTAGCCTAATTTTTACTCCTGAGTCATTTTGTAAAAACAATTCAGGAAATTGACCCATTTTACACCATGCAAATTGACATTTTTTCTTGGGGCAAAACTGGTATTTTTTGTAGCTACAAACAACACCAGTTTTTCCCCAGGGAAAAATGGCAATTTGAGTGGTGGAAAATAGGTCAATTTGCTGAGGCTTTTTTTACAAAATGACTCAGGAGTGAAAATCAGGCTCAAATGAGCTATTTTAGCCCAAAATAAAAATTTCTCAAACATTCCAAAATTAATTTTTAGCTCACTTGAGGCATTTTTATTG